TTGGAAGGTTTGGTTTTTTTTCTCCTGTGTGTACTTGGTAATTTGAATACGAACTTTTCTATGATGGACTTGAAATATAAATATATAAAAGTATATATATTGTCAGCTCCCAATGGTTTAAGATCAGTTTTCATCATCCTATGATTATCAACAAAGTGATTGACGTATGTCTAACCAGAAATTGGATTGGAATGGTAGGAGAGTGAGACTTTATGAAGGTGCGGATTTTGTGCTGCTGAGTGTGATGTCCGTGCTAACACTGGATGCTTTCGCTTTGCAAACTGGATCTACTCCTTAACACTTCGCCCTCACTGGAGAGAGATCGTGAAACTCAGGAGGAGAAAGAAAATAGCAGAATAAGTCAATGCATCTGCACAGGTGATTGCTGGGATTGTTTATTCCAACTTGGAAATTCATTACATGTGCTCTGGATAACGTTAAACATATACTTGATATTTGTGTTAATCATTTCTGTAGTACTCTGTCTCTTAAAATACTTCTTCCTTTGTTACAAAATTATACAAACGGTGTAGATCTTTCATGCAGCCATGTGGGTTCAGCACAGTTTTATTCTGGGCCCTAATGAGAAAAATCTCTTTTGTCTCGAACTCCCCTGTTGAGTTGTAGGAATAGGAACGTCACTGTCGACAGCACAAGAGCTGCATTTTAATTTGCAAGGATGAGCGGCTGTGTAATATCTCTGAATTGCACTTGTTTAATTTATAGACCTACTACTGGGGAATTTTCTTCCATTTTGTTTCTTTAAATGGAGCTTTTGAGTGGGTCCAGGCTTGGCTCTGGGAATCAGCCTGGATACCAGCAGATCCTACGCATTTTTAACCATAGAACCCATGCATTTTGCAGCTTCAGTCCAGCTGATGTCATTTTTATATTAAAATGATACCGTCAAAGTGAACCCCAACTTTGACCTGTCCTTTCTTATGTTTGCATAGACTATATACTTTTTTTACTAAAAGCAAATGCTTTAATGAGCTTTTAAAAAGAAAAGGTAAAGAAGTACTAATAAGCAAGCCGGCATTGACAAAAACCAGCGCAACCATGCAGTGCCAGGAGGCAGTTTTGGCGAGACGATGGGTCTCGGAAAAATGTGAGGGTTGGCCATAAGGAGATGGAAACCATCTGCTGTATGGCAGCGTGCTGGCACAGTTCCCCTCTTCCTTTGTTCCGGGAAGTAGAGTGGTTCCTGACTTTTCAGTTTCCCTTGGCTGCACCTATACGTTAGGTGCAGAGGTGGTGCTGTTCCGGGCAAAGTGGCTTCAACGGTGCCAGTCAAGGTGCCCGTAAATACCTTGTGTGTCTGAAGTGATGACTTGCACGTAGCTGCATACCTTTTGGACTGGGGGCATTAAATCCAGTTTCTCCCATCTGTCATCTGACTTTCTTTATGAATAACTAACACTTTTTTTTTTTTTTGCTTCTTCATAGTCCACTTTTTCCGAAACTTGCCTGTTTTAGAGGCCGTACAGCGGATAAACTGTTATTCAGCTTTTAGTCTCTCCCTATCTGTAGCCTTTTAACCTAGCTGAGAACTCGAAGGACGTGATTCATAAACATAGCAGTAGATTTCTTCATATTCTGGAAAACAAATGCTGAAATATGGGCTCAGCAGCAAGTCAACTGTTCGAGGTTTTGAAAAAGAGAATTTAAAAGAAAAAAGACCCAACCCCTCAGCTTCTACCACGGAGGTACTTCTATTTGCAACTTTGATCGTGGTAAGGGTAGTACTAACTGAAAGCAGCAGTTGCAACTCTGAATGTTGACCTGCCTCTTAACTCTGGATCAGAATTGCTAGTAAAAAAAAAAAAAAATCCATATTCCACCTCTTAAGTCTTTAACATCAGCTGCTGTCATACAAAGTAGGAGTATTTTCACTAATTCCCCACGGATGCGGTGCATCGGGGCTTTGATATAGGAGCTGTAGGCTAAAGGCAGCGTTGCTTTGCTTGGAAAGAGCAGGCAAGAAGTGGTATCCTTTTGTTATGTTTACATGACAGCGTGCCAAAGTTACATGCTGTGATTTTGGGGGGGTTTCACGTTAAAGGAATTCGCCCACCAGGAAGATAAATTTAAGAGCCCTTGATGCAAATCGTGATGGAGTCTCCTGAGAACTTTTCTTACCGTCTTCAGAGCCAGAATGGTGATATTGTTTGTTTGGCAGATTTTCAAAAGATAGTTTGGAAACTGGTTTTTTTTTTTCAGTTGGTTTGAAAAGTCTGCTGTACAGAGCTTGTACTTTGTTCATTTTATAGATGGAAACCATCTCTGAAAAATTGTTTAACTTAAATAAAGAAGAATGCTTTATAGATAACTGTGTGGCGGTTCATACAACCGAGTAAAACCAAGAAGTCTGCCTGCTGCTCGTAGATTGAACTAGTTTCCAAATGCTTCGGTTCACTCGGTGTTTTATAAAGTTTGTGTTCTAAAAGTGTGTCCATGTGGGCGTATATTTGCATTTATGAAAAGAAAATTTGTTTGTATTTAAATTTATACGATAACTTTGAGGCAATCGTCGTCTTTTGGGAGCTGCTTTACAATGAGGAGTGAGTTACCACTGGCTGTAGCCACCTGAAAATACACCGTTAAGGATGCTACGGTGCTCTCCGGGGGGATGCACGGGAAGCAGGAGGATGGATGAGGTAAAAAAAAAAATCTCATCTGTGACGTTCTGTTCAGCTTCAGAGTCGCCTCGAGTCAGTTCTTGGGGCGCATCCTTCTCTCCCACTCCCGCTTCCCACCAAGATCTTTGCTCCTGGTCCGGGAACCTGAGCTTTGCAGTTGGCCCCCGGGACACGAGCAGCGAGCATAACCCGCGGAAGCGTTTGTAGGAAAGATTTTAACACTTCTACTATTTTAATTGTACTGAAAGGAAGATTTTTACCTGTCGGGCTGTAGGAAAGGAGAGTTCTTGGGTGCAGAATGACTCTGTGTGTGAGCCAGAAGTCAGTGACTAGTCAGCACCTTTCAAAAAGTCTAAATTAGATGAAGCAAGTGGAGCATTAATATTTGATTGGCAAGAGTGAGAAGGCCCTGTCGAACCGCAGTAAACAAAGCAACCTCGCATTTGCAGATGGTATCTGAGAACTCAAGTGAGGGTTCTCCGGCTGAAATGCCTTTTGATGCCTGTGAGCTGACAGGTGATTCTAAAAGATAATTATAACAGGCTTCTGGCAGTAGAAGCTTTTAATCTAATCCAGTGTTCAATGTAGAGGTCGGTCTCTCGTCTCTGCCTAGAATCTTACACGTTTTCTATGCTTGCTGTTCTCGATAAACGTCTCAGTGTAAGTATCCAGAACTGAATGAACCATCCAGTAAACTTTGCATAACTTCTGACCAGAACACAATCGTTTGCTTCACCGTGTACCCAAGTATAGACACGATAAAAGTTTCCCACTCCGTGTAATTTGAATTTCGGGTCATGCCTTTTAGCCAGTTTCTAGGCATGGGTTTACTCTGCTTGCCTATCACTGTGCATAAAACCAGATATATTTATACCCCTTTTATAAGGGAACATTTAATCTTTCATCTTTAAGCAAAACGTATTTTAAATCCTGGCTTTTCAAGATGTCTGTGTGCGTTTGGAAAGGAAGCTGAATATTGGGAGAGATGAAAAGGCTTGAGGTAAGGCCTGTTGTCTTGTTTAAGGTGGGTCCTATGGAGCATTGTCCAGTTCCCATCTGGGATGTTACTGCCATAACCTTAGTTATTTTCAAATGCTACATTTTTTTTTGATACAAATTATATATATTTGCCTTAATTAGATGCACATTCAGTGTAGATGCTCTGTAAGATTTATGTGGTCCAGAGTTGCATACGTGCATCACCTGTGTCTGCATTCAGCCCGAAATACAATGAAGAATTTCATGGCAAGAACTTGTTACAGAATGCCCTCGCAAGAGGCTTGTTCCTGAACAGAACGACTTCAAATGAATGGAAACCACTGAAAAAAAAGTAGTCTGGGATAATAAGCCATGATTACAGAATGAGCACAAATGGCAGGGTTGCATCTTGCATTAGACTGCACACTTTATTTACGACTTAACATCCACTAGCTATTTTAAGATGGGCTAGTAATCAAACTTAAAAATTGGGAATAAAGTCAGAGCACAGATGTTCTCTCTGTGCAGCCCTCCACGAGCCTGTCTGAAGGGGCGCAGAATGCCCTTTTGGGTTGGGTTTGATTTGATTTCTTGCAGCACAGCAGCGCGTTGTGGCTCTCTGTGCAGCAAGAGGCACCCGTTTGATTCCAAGTCCCTATTTCTACCCAGCAGATGGTTTTAATCCAAGGATTTTTCTGTTTGTTTTATTAAAAAAGAATCTGGAAGTAGCAAATCGCTATGTTTTCTGCCATAGCTTTGTTAATTAAACCTCAGCTTTGGTTATCTGGGCATTTTGGTAAAAAGAGGGTTAGAAAATGACTGCGGAGAGTCTGCTGTGCTCTGGCTGGGTGGGGAGCACCACTTCTGAAAAACGCTTTTCTGCTCACTTTTGTGCCACCCTTGTTCTTGTCGAGCAAATTGGA